TCAATAGAATCATAAGAAGCATCTTATTATACAAATAAATATTCATAGAGCATACTTCTCTATTAATCTTAAGGGTCTTGTGCTATGTTTTAAATTAATATCACTTGCACTTCTTTCCAATTATAGATGGTGAAAATATACTCTTCCCTTTAATCTTGCTTAGTTTCACATTGCCCTAATTGCTTGGAGTGATTTATTTTTCAAGTTTCTCAGAGCCAGTTGTCAATTATCTGCAAGCAATCACCAACTTGCTGTCTTAATGTATCCTTGAACATTTTGAAGATTTCTCTTGAACAGTCATACATCATGTTATAAAAATAATTGCTTCCAAATAATGTCATATTGAACTTTCCCAAACATTAAGATTACTGATAATTCCAAATCAGACCTGGCATTATCTATTGGACTGGCACAGGGGCAGGTATCTTGTCATAATAATTCAATCTTTTTAGATACATTTGTAATTAACTCAGAACAATTTTATATTTCATTTGAAGTAGTATGTATAATTGAAAAGGCTATTTTTGGAAAAAGAAGAATTCTTAGTGGACAGGAAGAAACCATGGAGACGTGTGGCCAGATTACTAGAAGGGTCACATGTTTCCATGGTTTCTTTCCATCCACTAAACCAGACAAAATTAGTGCACTTCAGATCCTGTCAATCAAAAATATCCACCCAAAAAGTGTGCCTTCTCTGGCATGGCACCTGTCCTCTAGAGTCATATCCCTCCAAGATCCATTTGACTTCCAAATTGATAATTTTCAGCAAGTCTTTAAAAACTTGGCTGTTCTCTCAAGCCTATGAGAGCATATTTGTGGAATCCCTGTTGTTTGTGTTATGTTATAGGAGCTGTAGTTATCTAGATATATAAGGTGTTTTTTTATTGTTGTCTATTTTTAGTGCTTGCCAACCAAACACATTCTGGAGTTGAATGATAGTAAAGTGAAATGAAATGAAGTAAATTCACTTTAGTATGAGAAATTCTGCTAGCAAAAATAAAAGTGGATTACAACTAAATCATGCTACTTGAACTTAGTTCACAATTGTGTACACAATGCAGGATTGTTGAGCCTTTTAAAAGACAATACATATCACCAATGGCAGTTAAGCATGTGATTCAGCCCATTCATTTACCCTGATTTCAACAACCTATTGTCACTTTTTCTTCATCGGCAACATGTAGAAAACTTGCATATATTTCCTGCTCCAAATAATTGGCTGCTACTAATCTGTGTAGAAAAACATAATATGATAGCATCAGAACAAAGCATCCATATGATATGTACCCAGTTGTCTGTGGAGGATAGTTCCCACTGGTGGAAAAAATGGGCTAGCCTTCCTCCGATTGGGAGATCTGAGTAGGAGTCACTTGGCCTTCCGATAGGAACGACCTGCTCCACGAAATGGCCGTTTTGGCTGATTCTGTTGCCTAGAACGGAACCCTGGTCTGTCATAGGGGCGGTCGTACAGTCTGTCCTGTCTAGGGACATATGGTCTGGGGGGTTGGCTGACAGTTGTAGTCGACGCTTGTCGAAAGGACTGTCTCCGAAAATAAGGCGTGGGGNCTTGTTCAAATGGGCCATCACCTTGTGTTTATCCTTATTTTCAACTAGATAAGGTGCTAGTGCCTCCCCAAATAAATTGGTGCCTAAATAAGGGGCTGTTGCTAGGCGCCACTTAACCTTGGTGTCAGCCTGCCAGTGCTTTAACCACAACATCCTTCTAGAAATTATATTGGATGCGATGGACCTGGAAGAGAAAATGAGCAACAATAGATTCAGAGCCCCCTCCCAAAAAATTGAACCTCCAATGCTGTCCAATTGACTCTCCTCTATGTTCACCTCAGTGAAAAGAAAATAAGAAGCTTCTGATTAGTTGCTTAAACAGGTAGTATTTCTGTACAAGAAATTGATTGTTTAATCTACAGTTAGTGAAAACAAACCAAACCAAACAAAGCCATTAAGTTTACTTATCCCTAAAAATTACTTGAAAATAGACAGCTGCTTCCAGCATAGTATAAAGGAGAGCTAAAGATATTACTGTATGTAGCTCATTCACATAATAAAAACAATGGTTTCCAAAAATATTTACATCCCATTAATAGATAAGATGAAGAGAACGTGAGACAGAAATTTGCAGTTGAATAAAACCCTATTTTTTTGGAACAAGTTGCAGGATTTCTACACACTTTTCATATCCCTAGGTAGATGTGTTTTCAGATTTGACCCAGCAGACCCAGAGTAATTTAGCTTATTCTTTACAAATTGCACACTATTTTTAGACCATCAATGTGTAGCAAGGTACAATGTTTATAGAAACATAGTATAGTGCCTTTTTTCTTTCCTCTTCCCTTTTCCTTTTCCCCTTCCCATGTCCCCTTTGATTATATTGATTACAACCAGCTGTGGAACATACTCAAAAAATGGGAATCTGAGAACATCTCATTGTACTCATGAGAAACACATATACATATCAGAAAGCCACAATATAGAAACAACATGGTTTTCTTTCTTTCTTTCTTTCTTTCTTTCTTTCTTTCTTTCTTTCTTTCTTTCTTTCTTTCTTTCTTTCTTGCTTTCTTGCTTTCTTGCTTTCTTGCTTTCTTGCTTTCTTGCTTTCTTTTTTCTTCCTTCCTTCCTTCCACAACCATTTGAGTTCTAGAAAAACTAAACCCATCTTTATGAGGAATATGGCAACCTTAATTTATTAGAGTTTTTTTTTAATTATCACTGCTTTCAAAGTTCACCTGTGCAGTATTTTACTAAGTAAAAGTAATAGTAGTAAAAGTGTTGGATTTATTTGACTGACAGGATATTAAGTGATATAGCTATTATCTCCTCTTCCATTGTAAATCATCAAATGGAACCTTCAGTCAGCTTGGTAATAATGGCAGATGAATGCTGTGACAATATAAGGCAGCAAACAGTATCTGCCACTATATCTAGAATTCACTTATAACTCAAATCACAGTGACAAAATGCTTGTGCAGTAGATTGGAAAAAAGGTCTATTATTATTTATTTGTCTTTCCCAGGAACACAAAACTAATGAAATTTCATTGAATAGCTTGCATGTCAAGATTACTATATATCATAAAGACACATCCTTCTAACTTTGTAGTAGATATTTGTCTCTGTTATTAGATATTTCCTTCCACAATACTTTGATGTCTGAAGGACATGGCCAAGTTCATGGTATAAAACAAATCACCTGCATGAAAGAAAATAATTGATCTTCCATGCGCTTTGCACAACAATACAAAAGAACCATGCAGGAAATGTAGTTATAGCTTGTAATTTCAAAATAGCCCACCTTTCTTATAGATAGTTGAATCAGATATACAACTAAATCATTTCCTCTTCTTTGTGTTCTTTGTTTGGGGGACAGTCAATAGCAGAAGTGAGCAAATTTCACATATTGGATGACAGATCAAACTCTTATAATGTAATATAATAGCAGTCCAAAGCTACTCAATTGATGTGAACAATATCTGTCCAAATAGCATCTTCTTAATTTTCACCATGTAACTGTTGCCAACTGTAAACTACTCTGCTGTGTAAATTTTGCTTGGGAAATTTGCAAAGAAAACTGAGGGAAAGCAAATGTGTTTTCTGTGATTTTCTCAGTTTGAAACTTTATCTTCCTAATCTAGCTTTCACAGAAAACTACTAACCTAGAGAATATAGACAAAAAGGAGGAAGCTGCAGTGACAAGGGCCATATTTTATATTCAGAATTTGAACCATTTTCTCTCTTTCATTTTCCATTCCTTTTTCTTCATCCACAAGTCAGCATTCAGCCCTTTTGGTGGGGTACTTTCTGTTTTCTTGGAATAGAGGCGTATATTTATGAGTCCTTAGATCCAACCCCCAGGGATTTCTAAACGTTCTCATCCATTTTTAAACTGTACTATAACAGACAATAGAAATGAAGGCAAATATACATGTCCCAGGATAATGTTGTAGGATCTAATCTGGGTCAGTCCCCAGGACCAGAGGTTTAGTTTTTTGAGCTTTGGACTCATGTTGAAATCCATCCTCAGGGAATTTTTCTCAGGAAAAAAATAGAAAAAACAAAAAAGAAATCACAATTTGGCAACTTTCCCCCAAAAAATATCTTTTAGACTTAAGGCTGTCAAGATCTGCATACTGTATAGCCCTCTCGTTGGGCACCTTTGATAAAAAGAAAAGAAAATGTCCTGGAACCATGCTGAGTGAGTACTTCTGGATAAAGATTAACTGAGCTTTCAAAGAGATATTTGAATTGTCAAGCTGGCTTTGTATATTAGTTGCAACATCTCAGAATGACCTCATTAACTGGCGTTAGATTGGGCAGTACACCCACATTTTTCCAAGCCAATTGTGCTCAACTTCTGCCCACTAAGGATGTGTGTGGTGATGGGATTTTGGAGGGCAATGAGGCTGGCAAAGGGGAGTTAGGATCTCCAGGGACCTTTGGCTCCTGATTGTTCTCTCCTGCTTCAGACCAAACAAACCATCTAAGTTACATCAATGCCAATTTGTCTATTCCACTTCTGCAATTTGTCTATTCCACTTCTATGCTTGTTGTAGGAAAAAAGAAGAAAAACAGAAAAAAATATGATCTAAAGCACTTATTCGGTGATCGGGAAAAGTTAAAATATCTACAAAGATTGAAGATGCCTTTGGAAAAGCACTCTATATTGTAGCTTGCTTAAAATTAGCTTCATGGTACTTCATCATTTAATTCAAGATTTTGAAGATTTTGCCTGTTAAAAAAGGAACAATTAATCCCACTTTAAGGAATCCATTTTTTCTATTGATCACCAGCAAACCTCATAAACATATGCAAAGGCATCCAGAAATTTGAATCTCATTGATATAAGCATATCAGAGACTTTAAAAAAGATAGTTGTGGGCCACACACAGATCCTGGGCTGCAGTTTTTTCTGTACACCGGCCTTCCATTTCATAGATTCACAGTTTAATTCTCAGATTTAGCTGCTAATCAATTTTCAGCAGGATGCTCCAGTTTTATAGAAGCAAAGTAGCATTTATTGAAGGTTTGTAGCTTTGTTTTAACATATCTGTGTTGCACCTTAAAGGTTTTTTTAAAAAAGCAGTGGAAAGGGAGTGGAAGAAGGACAAAAGGAAGCCATTTCCAGTAGGCAAAACATAGCAAAAAATGTAGAGCACGATTCACCCTGTGAGGACACAAATCAAAAAGAGAACCAGTAGGAGAAGTAATGGTAGATTTAAGGTCTGCTCTCAAAGAGGCAGAGACAAAATGGTGGCCAGAAGATATTATACACACTGTCTTCATAACCATTGCAGGATCAACTGGAAGGATCAAACAAAAAAGGAAGTTGCCAACCAGCTAAGAAAAGGAGACCATAATGAAATGGTTGTATATTACTGGATGGAGTAGCCAATCACAACTGGGTTGTGGAATAAAGCACAGTCATATAAATGGCTAGAAAAGTTTAAGATGGTTCAGGATGGAAAACAGTACTTTTGAAATTTCAGAACAAAGATGGAGTGTTTTTGCAGTGGATGGAAAGCTCAGTCCTAGAAAGAAAGCAATTACAAAATGCTTCTGAAATTTGGCCAAGAAGTCAAAAATCAACATTAATTCAAACACACAGAGAGAGAGAGAGGGAGGGAGGGAGGGAGGGAGGGAGGGAGGGAGGGAGGGAGACACACACAGAGACAGAGATAGAGACAGAGAGACAGAGAGAGATGGAGTGGAGGATAATGTCTCTATTTGCATTCAAGAAATGGTGGACAGCCAATACCAGTGAAGGAAGGAGCAGAGACAATGTATTGGTCAGATTGATGTAGATCTGAATACACTGTATCAAGTGTAAGTGAGTCACCTGCATGTGAGTTGGGCAGCTATATCAATATGTTAAATAAATAAATGCAATGATGATGTTACCTATTTGGGTAATGAAATGTCTGGAAGAAAACCATGAAACCCAGAGAGCACCAAGGCTCCCACAGTAAATAAATAAAATCCAGATATAAGATCTTATTATTTAATAATATGTACACTCTTAAATTAACTTGCTTTTAAAGCTGATTACACTGTTGTCCTATGGACTGTAGGTGTTGTTGGAAGGCAAATGGCCTCAATTAAAGACATAGAGGAGAAAGAAAGATGACACTTTAGTAACAGCAATCTTCACTGTTATATCCATCTCTAGTCCTATTCGGTTCATTTTGTTATGGTAATCCATTTACTATGGTTTACATAATTTCTTGAAGGATCATTCTACACTAGTCAGATATAGGCAACATTCTGAAGCAAGGCTAAAAGCAAGTGCATTTCCTCACCTTTATTATGTAAATAAACCCTACACAAATCTTCAAGAAATGAGCTGCTATTATTAATCAGGCATGAAATGTTTGCACTTGTATGGGAAGAGGAAATTGCCTGCAGACTATCTGGGAAAAACTGAAAGCAATTTCACCTTGTAAGATTTTGAAATAAATGAAAGGCACAGAGTACCTTATATTTTTACAGCCTTGACAATAAAGCAGCAAGGTGATAAGTGAACATTAAGGGCACATAAACATTGTATATTTATATTGTGTTTAAACTCACACTGGATGGATATCTCAACACATGGTTGGTTAAGTTAAAAGCCCTCAAGGAAGGAAAGAAAGGATACTTTCCACTTTAGGGTATTGTTATTGTTATTATTATTACATAGAACTTTGTTTATGATAAATGCCATATTAGCTGCTTTTGAATAGAGAGAAAAATCTAGATATCTCAAAATGGTTTAGTTCTTTCATGTAGAACTCATTAAGAGAGAATACTTTGCAAAAAACTATCAGTACATAAAAGATATCTAAAGTTTGGCTGGAAAACCAGATACATTCTGAATTGTCTTTAAGTGAAATATGTTTTAAATCTGTTTAATATGTTTTGTATCATAGATGAACAAATTTGTCACAGTCCTGTTTTTATTCAAGAGTCATCTGATGTCATATATTCAGAGAATTCAGAAAAATCAGAAGTGCTTTTGAATTGTACTGCAAAAGGTTCTCCCTTGCTACACTATCGGCAAGGTATCTTCTATTTATATTATTATTTTGAGTATTATTGAGTCTAATGACAAAACTTTATAATTCTCAAATGAAGATCAAGCAGTTGAAATAAAGGAATTAAATGTGTATATGTGTAGTGTAGTGTAGTGTAGTGTAGTGTAGTGTAGGGTAGGGTAGGGTAGGGTATGGTATGGTATGGTATGGTATGGTATGGTATGGTATGGTATGGTATGGTATGGTATGGTATGGTATGGTATGGTATGGTATGGTATGATAAGCCAGGGGGTTTATCCCAAACATGATTATTTACAATAAGACATAAAACAACATTGGGAATGGCATAAGTGGCAGGTGAGAATGTAGAATGAAAGAGAAGCAGGTAATTTCATTTATTTATTTTTAAGGTGACACAAACTTTGCATGTTTGTTATTTACTAGAATAGATAGCATATATATTTTATTTTCTGTCTTTATTTTACTCAGAAAACACTTATTTCTTGTCTTTTTATATGTTTTACTGATGCAAAACTAGGATGTCAAGTGTCAATTCCAGCTACTGATGTTATTTTTAAAACTTATTATTACATTTTGAAAATGTAAATTGATACCTCTCTATTGTTTATGTAGCATACAAAATGTTTAAGACAACAAAAAAAATCACACCCTTATGCAGATTTCCATACACACATCCAAATCCTTAAGACTGTATAGAAATAATTGGTTTTAGAATAGAATTGAATGATAGAGTTAGAAAGGACCTTGGAGGTCTTCTACTCCAACCCCCTGCTTAGGCAGGAAACCCTACACTGTTTCAGACAAATGGTGGTCCAATCTCTTCTTTAAAACTTCCAGTGTTAGAGCACCCACAACTTCTGAAGGCAAGTCATTTCACTGATTAATTGTTCTAACTGTCAGGAAATGTCTCCTTAGTTCTAGGTTGCTTCTCTCCTTGATCAGTTTCCATCCATTGCTCCCATCCATTTAGCTAGATGAAACTCTATATAATAATTAATATTTATGTTATTTAGAATACTACCATCAAGATAGTAGTGTTGATTATTGTGGTACATACAATTTTGTGTTTATATTTAACAACTTCATGGAAATGATGAAACATTAAATAGAATAGAATAGAATAGAATAGAGCTGGAAGGGACCTTGGAAGTCTTCTAGTCCAGCCCCTGCTTAAGCAGGAGAACCTATACCATTTTAGACAAGTGACTGTCTAGCCTCTTCTTAAAAACCTCCAGTGATGGAGCACCCACGATTTCTGGAGGCAAGCTGTTCCACAGGTTAATTGTCCTCACTGTCAGGAAATTTCTTCTTAATTCTAGGTTGCTTCTCTATTCAGTTTCCAACCATTGTTTTTTGTCCTGCCCTCTGGTGCTTTGGAGAATAATTTAACCCCTCTTCTTTGTGGCAGCCTTTCAAATACTGGGGAGGCAAGCTGTTCCACAGGTTAATTGTCCTCACTGTCAGGAAATTTCTTCTTAATTCTAGGTTGCTTCTCTATTCAGTTTCCAACCATTGTTTTTTGTCCTGCCCTCTGGTGCTTTGGAGAATAATTTAACCCCTCTTCTTTGTGGCAGCCTTTCAAATACTGGAATACTGCTATCATGTTGCCCCTGTTTCTTCTTTTCTTTAGTCCTGTACAGTGCTTTTTTTGTAAAAAGAAAAGGTGCCGGAACTCACACACGTCATACAACCCGCCTTGCCTGCCCTACAAGGTTCCATCCAAAAAAGGTGCCGGAACTCCGTTCTGGGCGTTCTATGACAAAAAAGCCCTGGTCCTGAAGCCATTCTTCATATGTTTTAATCTCCAGGCCTTTGATCATCTTAGTTGCTCTTCTCTGAATTTTTTACAAACTCTCAACATCTTTTTTGTGATGTCGCGACCAAAACTGACTGCAGTATTCAAGGTGTGGTCTTACTAGGGTTTTATAAAGCAGTACTAATACTTTGCATGATCTTGATTCTATGCCTCTGTTTATACAACCCAGGATTGTATTTGCTTTTTTGGCTGCTTCTGCACACTGCTGGCTCATGGTTAAGTGATCCTCCACTAGGACTTCAAGGTCTGTCTCACAGTTGCTGTTTTTAAGCCAGGTCTTCCCCAATCTGTACTTGTATCTTTGATTTTTCCTACCTAAATGTAAAACTTTGCTTTTCTCCACATTGAAACTCATTTTGTTGTATAGGGCCCGTTGTTCAAGTTTGTCAAGATCTTTTTGGATCATGAGTTTGTCTTCTGAGGTGTTGGCTACTCCTGCCAGTTTGGTGTCATCTGCAAATTTAATTAGTTCCCCTTCAATTCCCTCATCTAAGTCATTTATGAAGATATTGAAGAGTACTTGGCCTAAGACAGAACCTTGTGGTACCCCCCTGCTTACTTCTCTCCATGTGGATGTAGTGCCATTGAGGACTACTCATTGAGTATGGTTTGCCAGCCAGCTACAGATCCATCTGGTGGTGATGTTGTCTATTCCACCTTTTTCTAGCTTACCAAGGAGTAGGTTGTGGTCTACCTTATCAAATGCCTTATTGAAGTCTAAGTA